GTCTCGTCTCATTACCTTCGATTCTTTCAATCAATAACTTGTATTGAAAATATCACGATTAAGCCATGAAAAAAAGTCTAGACTGCATCCACTGCATACCACAAAATATTTATAACTCGTGTAATGCCCTATGTGAATAACTTTTGAAAGCCCTTTTGTATTAAGGTATCAAGAGAAGGTGTTTACAGTTACTTCCTCTTTACATCAGTGCAAATTTTAGAGGATTCAACAACAACTATTGGGACATATTTCGACTAGCAAAATTTTACTGACTTTCAATGATACATTTTGATTTGAATTACATTTGATGAAATGGTTAGTGGTATTTTGATGCAATGAATGAGTTCGAACAGTATATTAGCGTTGAGTTTTTTAGCAAAGTATCGTTTTCATCATAGTAATGCCCTGATAGTACAGTACTTGCCAACCGAACCAGAAAGAAAATTAGATAAATTGTCAATAGCTAGTCCCTTTAATCTTCCTATTATCCCTCCTATTTCCATCAAGCCCCATCAAGCCACACCCTGCCCCACCCTTTTGTTTAATAGAGCATACCCAGTTGAAAAAGTCACGCTACGCCACTGATAAGTACCCATATGCGCTGCGGTTATATGCGATTCTTACATTTGTTACGCAGCTTTGATCGAAGCATTGTCCTTTTTGTTAGGGTTTTTGTCATGATGACGAGTGCGTGTTCACCTCTGGTTTTGAATACTCAGTTTCCCCATTATTCATGTTACCAAGACTTTCCATGAGCGCCTGTTGGATCTATTTTCATCGAATTTGCGATAATCTCCTTTTAGGGGCCCCTTTAAACGAAACTACTTTTCAATATAGTAACAATCGTTGAAAAAAGTCCGATACTCCCGTTTCAACTGTACATGAGTTTTAAAAGAGGAAGATTTATCTGTAAGAATCAAATCAATGCATCTGGGATTATCTGACTTAAAACATGTAGGAACATTGCTTCCGTATCAAAATCGCCTAGAATTTGCAAAATTTTCATAGCGACTGCCGTAGTGGTCTATTTTTTCTTGTGCAAATTATTCTCTAAGCTTCCATATTCAATATCGCCAGGATATTTAGAATCTGAGACGAGACACGCAGTAATACCCAATCTAACTTGAAAAGTGGTTTCGTTAAAAAGGGCCCCTATAATAAAACAGGCCCGAAAGTGCAGTGGGAAAAGGCAATTGGGATAGATTTTCCTTTAAGAAGCCTTTTTCAAAATCACAAAACTTTTAACAAGCTCCCTTTGAATAAGCCCCACCTTTACATGCCAATTTTTTCGCTTTAATAAGCTTCTGTTGGGCCTTAATTGAAGTGCAAAAGAAAAATCCCCTCTCAATAGGGAACTTTTAAGAAATTTCCAATGCTGGGTAACAGACACAAAAGGGCATTTTTCTTAACGTGACACAACTGACGGCAAAAACAAAAGGAAAGGGACCAGTATACACCAGTCCTTGCACATCAACCCTTACTCCCATGCAGTGAAAAGTCACATATAAGCCAGACAAAACAACGAGCGTTCAGATCTTGGCATCTTTGCAGGAAAAAGATGCAAGCAAAACTGTCAAAGCATTCGTCGTCGAATTTTCCCGCGAATTTCATTTCTTCGCTTTGCTGTAGTGCAAAAAAATCGAACAGAGCACTACGACGACATATCGTCCACGTTTCGTAATAATTTTTCAATTATTCAAAATTTCGTCTATCAACTTGATGTTCGGTTTAAACCTACTCTAATGAGTGTCTAGATTAGTATGCCTCAGGGGTCTAATTCAAGGATTTACAGGATTTTGGGTCAGAACATTATGATAAAAATGATTTCGAACAAAGTAATCCATGTGCTCGGAGAAGCCCAATGGTGAAGCCCAGTATGCTTGGGCACAAAGTTAGTTATCCATAATCTCTATCTACGAAGTTCATTATTTTTATTTTGTTGTTTGTTCTCAGAGTGTTGTGGTGTTCCTTATCTCATTCAAAGAGATCCATCCCTGCGGTAAATAGCTGCAACATCTCTGCTAGGCAACATCTCAAGGGCGTGGAACAGGTTAGTGATTGGTTGTGACAGCAGAAAGGGCAGTCTATTGGTCAAAAAGTATCCATGCCAACCGGAAGTCGAGATTTGAGGGTATAAATGAACAGAATCGCGCTGTGTTAGCAGTTCGAGGCACAGAATAGAGATATTCTGTGTGGGAACATTGGTGCTAGGGCAGGTTTGGGCTGAGAACGCTGTGATCCTGTTCCAAGATGAAGGCCGTGTTGCTGTTTTGTGTCCTTCTTGGACTCGTCATTTCAACCAACGGTAGGTGCAGCCTTTCTTGCTATTATTTAGTAAAGACACTGGCGAAGAAAGATCCATGCACTCGTTTAAATTATTAAGATAGAGTTTTTTAACGATCGTTGGCGGGTCTGTTGGATGGTGCCTGTTAAATTGAATGTATAGCTGCTATACAGTAAATTATTCCTGGCTTCACTTGTAAGTTAAGGGAATTTTGGAGTAAAGCGCAATGTGTTTTCGTTAATTTTTTTAAAGCAAAGAGGCCACACCGATCGCTCTACAATCTGTGTTCTTATTAGCTATGTTACGTGCCGTATAAACTTTGAGGCTGAAGTTTATCCCCAGACAATCATTGCTCGAAATACCCTATTTATAGAAAGAATAGAAAGACTAGGTCAAATACTTTGCTTTATGATACCGATTTAAATATCGTTTTTATTATATGCAGCTTTTTGTCAAAGTGTTCACGTAAGGAAATTCCTACTTAGCAAATGCCATTGTGATCTTTTTAAGTAACAATCTTCAGTAGTTGAGCTTACACCGGGTTGAATTAATCTTTTAGGTGCAACTGTCGAGGAAAACAACGACAAGGTGGCGGAGAAGAGTGTTCCGGAAGAGGTTGATGTAGAGGAAGATTCTGCAAGTGAAGAAGAGGAAGACCCAGAAGCTGAAGAGCCCTCTGAAGACGAGGAAAGTGATGCTACAGAACCGGAAGAGGACACTGAATTATCTGAAGGTACTATAGACTTTTAACTTTTGGTCTATAGTTCTTTGGCACTTTTGTTGAAAACGACAAGATATGCAAATAGATATGCAAATATTCAATTCGATGTAAGGCTGGGCCGATCTTTGAGACGTTAAAATCGTGATTCCGGAATTGTCTTGGGCCCTATTGAATCATGCATATTTGAATCCACAGAGGAGCGTGTTAGCTACACGCTCAATTGACCCCAGATTCTCCTTGGGGCGTTTCTTTCCTTAACTTTTTAGGTCTTTCTTGATATTTGTAAATGGTCTTGTTTAGACAATTCTGAGCAAATAGCAAAAGACGGCTCTGTATCAGATCCTTCATGGCGCAGACGTTCCTGGCGCAGACGTTCTTGGCGCAGACGTTCCTGGCGCAGACGATCCTGGCGCAGACGTTCTTGGCGCAGACGGTCCTGGCGCAGACGGTCCTGGCGCAGACGGTCCTGGCGCAGACGTAGCGGAAAATAAGCAAGGAACTGGTTGAGAAACTTTTTTGCTCCCTAATTATGTTTTGCATTTTTAATTTTTGCATATTTGAAGCTGTTGACCAAGGTCAATAGAGAAAGATATTGTGTTGTTTGTTTTGTTCTCCTACTTTCTGAAAGGGTCTGCCATCTATTTAACTCTGGACATATGAGAAAGAGTTTGCGGAAAGTTGCGATAAATGTCGTTAGTTAATCATAAATCTATAAACCAGAAAAGAATAACAGTATCCGTTAGCAAAGTTGAAATCTTTCATTGACCGTATATCACCCGATTTTGAACACATCTAGCTGATTTTGTATAGTTAAAAGTATTTTATGTCGTTTTTCTGATTTTGTGGTCAAAACTAGAAAATTCTAAAAATAGATTTTTGATGACGCCACACCAGTATTCTATTGTGAGTGATATTTTCGACTTTTCAGGTATCTAAAAATTTCGAATCGGATACAATTTGTATAAAAATCAAAGGTGAAAATGCCATTTATACAAGGAACTCAGTAAATTCACTGCGTTTGTAAAAGCGGTTCAAAGCGGCTCGATTGCCTTCGCTTCTCGGAGCCAGGCCCTGCCCCATCTAGCCACCATTGTGAAAAGAGAGTTTTGCTTACACTGCTTTACTTGTTGGTTTTGGCTCAATGTATATATTATAATCTAAAGGTTTATCTATATGAAAAATTAGGTCTGATTTAGATATTTTATAAAACGAAAAATAAGGGGAGATGGCCCTCTGGATTCCTCTTTGGCGCAGGCCTTTAGAGAAACCCTTCCGCGTTCGAGCATGTTTGAAAAAATGACGCAGTATGCATTCCATCAGACTCCAAATGGAAGAAGGAATGCCAAAGACCAAGAAAATTTGGTACTCACTACGCCCTACAAACAGAGTTGCAGAACAAGGGTCGAAAATCAGACAATTTTCTACTGCTTCTGGAGACATTTTTGCAATCCCTTCCTTCACCCCCCCCCCCCCCCCCCCCCTTGGATTTTTAATTGCAAGAGACCCCGGACACAAGACTACTGAAAACGTGAGATAGTCTGCTTTATAAAATTTTCCGTTCATTGCAAAGGACGGCTATCAGTATATCCCTTGCCTTAAGTCGGCAACAGCAAAATAACGCGATTTGATCTGCCATTGTTTTATGGTGCAAGGTTTGAGATGGGTTTCGAAATGTGGTGGATTAGGGGAGGGGGGTTGATTTCCGCCTTTATATAGAACATAGAGGTTTTTCATGTATGCATAAGTCGATATATAAAGGTAAAATTGACAAAGCAAGTCAAATCAAGTCAAGTCAAGTCAAGTCGAGTCGAGTCAAAGAGTGATCCATTCGACAAAATGAATGGTGAATTGTGACGTAATGTTAGCAAAGGAAGGTAAGGATGTACACCTTTGTAAATTTCTCCCCACCCTACAAACTCTTAGTTGTGTTCTCCAAAAGTCTGTTCTTCAAAAAAAAGCTACCATGAAAGTCTCAAAGGAAAAAATCCCAGGGGGCTCGAGCACCCAAGTTCGTGTGTAGTTGGTCTAGCTCTTATGCTTTCAAGGAAAACAAAGATAAGTTCGAAAAATATTTACCTTTGTTTTGCTAAACTTGTACTTTGGGGCAGCTAAACGAGCTCAAAACATGCATACAACTCAACTAACAGTCAAGGGGCAAATTAGGGGAGTGTAGGGGTAACAAATAATGGAAAGAGTCGGTCCTAGCCAATAAGTGGAGGATTCCAGTTACTCATAAGGCTAGAAAGTGCGTTTCTAACATATCTTTGAATGCATCATGTCATTTGATACAAAATGAAGTAAATATTCCATCGAACTTTAAAGAAATATTATTAAAGGCCAAACAAAACGCAACTGTTAAGAAAATTAGGCCCGACCCAACTTTCTTGTCAAGATCAATGTATGCCTCTTGAAAAAGAAGCCTGAAGTATCTACGCGTTAGAAACATGAAGTCAATGTTTTGAGTTCAAAGTCATCTGTTTAATTTATCCTCTATGAAAAAACCTAATAAGAGCTGGTTTCATTATGTTTTAGCTTTGAATGCACTTTTTAGCGTTTTTTCTTGTTATCTTGTGCACTTAAAACTGTACGTTCGTGGAAGTGACTTGAGATACAACATATGGACTAATCTAGGATGAAGCAATCAAACAACCGAATTGTCTGTTAATTAGGTCTCTGAAGGCCAGCAGAGCCAAAGAGACTCATCGAAAATCACAATTTTCCCTGGAAGGGGAGCATGAGTCCGGACACCCTAAACATAGACTGTCCCCCGATACCCTAAACACAGTCTGTGTGCACTATAAGTGCTGTGTTCTCCACTCTAAAGAATTTAACTGTTAGTTTCCTGACAATCCTCTAAACAATTGATTAATTTTTTCGCCCCTGGGAACAGTACAAATGTTTTGTCTGGATAATACAGTACTGAAAGGGCACAAAGACGTGCCCTTGAAGTGAGACTGTTCTAGGGGGTATGGGGGCGTGCGCCCCAATAAAGTTTTGAATTTTATGGTGTCTTCTTTGTCTCTGCTGACCTCCTAGAGACCTAATAATAAAAAAAGTCGGTCGTATCAAACTTGTTTGAGTTTTCGGTGCCCTATACAAGCTTTGGCGCCCCTAAAAAAAGTCAGCTGGGGGCCTTCAGAGACCCCCGGCCCCCCCTGCCAGGCCGCCACTGGTAGGTGAGACAAGAGATCACCTGAAGACAGTGAAAATATCAATGTTTTGGACTAAAATATCTTTTATTATTTTGATTTATACTTCTGTAGAAAGATTTAGAAAGTAAAATTGCAAATGTAATGAACTTTAAAATTGAGAAAACGCTACGAAACGAGCTAATTTTATGGCAACTTGAATATGGTACTTCTAAGTCCCATCCCCTCGAATTTCTCGAATTAAACCTAATCTAATTCTAATGAGTGTCTAGATTAGTATGCCTCAGGGGGCCTAATTCAAGGATTTACAGGATTTTGGGTCAGAACATTATGATAAAAATGATTTCGAACAAAGTAATCCATGTGCTCGGAGAAGCCCAGTGGTGAAGCCCAGTATGCTTGGGCACAAAGTTAGTTATCCATAATCTCTATCTACGAAGTTCCTTATTTTTAATTTGTTGTTTGTTCTCAGAGTGTTGTGGTGTTCCTTATCTCATTCAAAGAGATCCCTCCCTGCGGTAAATAGTTTGCCAACATCTCTGCTAGGCAACATCTCAAGGGCGTGGAACACAACAGTGATTGGTTGTGACAGCAGAAAGGGCAGTCTATTGGTCAAAAAGTATCTATGCCAACCGGAAGTCGAGATTTGAGGGTATAAATGAACAGAATCGCGCTGTGTTAGCAGTTCGAGGCACAGAATAGAGATATTCTGTGTGGGGAGAGTGGAGCTAGAGAAGGTTTGGGCTGAGAACGCTGTGATCCTGTTCCAAGATGAAGGCCGTGTTGCTGTTTTGTGTCCTTCTTGGACTCGTCATTTCAACCAACGGTAGGTGCAGCCTTGCTTGCTATTATTTAGTAAAGACACTGGCGAAGAAAGATCCATGCACTCGTTTAAATTATTAAGATAGAGTTTTTGAACGATTTGATTAGAACGATCGTTGGTGGGGCTGTTGGATGATGCCTGTAAATTAAATGTATAGCTGCTATACAGTAAATAACTCCTGGCTTCACTGGTAAGTAAATGGAATTTTGGTGAGAAGCGCAATGTTTTTTGTTAATTTTTCAAAGCAAAGACGCCACGCCAAACGCTCTATAATCTGTGTTCTTACACGCTATGTTACGTGTCGTATAAACCTTGATGCTGAAGTTTATTCCCAGACAATCATTGCTCAAAATACCCTATTTAAAGAAAGAATAGAAAGACTAGGTCAAATACTTTGCTTTGTAATACAAAGTTAAAACATCGTTTGAATATGCAGCTTTTTATCAAAGTGTTCACGTAAGAAAATTCCTACTTAGCAAATGCCATTGTGATCTTTTTAAGTAACAATCTTCAATAGTTAAGCTTACACCGGGTTAAATTAATCTTTTAGGTGCAACTGTCGAGGAAAACACCAACGAGGTGGCGGAGAAGAGTGTTCCGGAAGAGGTTGATGTAGGGGAAGATTCTGCAAGCGAAGAAGAGGAAGACCCAGAAGCTGAAGAGCCCTCTGAAGACGAGGAAAGTGATGCTACAGAACCGGAAGAGGACAATGATTCTACAGAACCGGAAGAGGACACTGAATTATCTGAAGGTACTATAGACTTTTAACTTTTGGTCTATAGTTCTTTGGCACTTTTGTTGAAAACGACAAGATATTCAAATAGATATGCAAATATTCAATTCGATGTAAGGCTGGGCCGATCTTTGAGACGTTAAAATCGTGATTCCGGAATTGTCTTGGGCCCTATTGAATCATGCATATTTGAATCCACAGAGGAGCGTGTTAGCTACACGCTCAATTGACCCCAGATTCTCCTTGGGGCGTTTCTTTCCTTAACTTTTTAGGTCTTTCTTGATATTTGCAAATGGTCTCGTTTAGACAATTCTGAGCAAATAGCAAAAGACGGCTCTGTATCAGATCCTTCATGGCGCAGACGTTCCTGGCGCAGACGTTCTTGGCGCAGACGTTCCTGGCGCAGACGATCCTGGCGCAGACGTTCTTGGCGCAGACGGTCCTGGCGCAGACGGTCCTGGCGCAGACGGTCCTGGCGCAGACGGTCCTGGCGCAGACGTAGCGGAAAATAAGCAAAGAACTGGTTGAGAAACTTTTTTGCTCCCTAATTATGTTTTGCATTTTTAATTTTTGCATATTTGAAGCTGTTGACCAAGGTCAATAGAGAAAGATATTGTGTTGTTTGTTTTGTTCTCCTACTTTCTGAAAGGGTCTGCCATCTATTTAACTCTGGACATATGAGAAAGAGTTTGCGGAAAGTTGCGATAAATGTCGTTAGTTAATCATAAATCTATAAACCAGAAAAGAATAACAGTATCCGTTAGCAAAGTTGAAATCTTTCATTGACCGTATATCACCCGATTTTGAACACATGTAGCTGATTTTGTATAGTTAGAAGTATTTTATGTCGTTTTTCTGATTTTGTGGTCAAAACTAGAAAATTCTAAAAATAGATTTTTGATGACGCCACACCAGTATTCTATTGTGAGTGATATTTTCGACTTTTCAGGTATCTAAAAATTTCGAATCGGATACAATTTGTATAAAAATCAAAGGTGAAAATGCCATTTATACAAGGAACTCAGTAAATTCACTGCGTTTGTAAAAGCGGTTCAAAGAGGCTCGATTGCCTTCGCTTCTCGGAGCTAGGCCCTGCCCCATCTAGCCACCATTGTGAAAAGAGAGTTTTGCTTACACTGCTTTACTTGTTGGTTTTGGCTCAATGTATATATTATAATCTAAAGGTTTATCTATATGAAAAATTAGGTCTGATTTAGATATTTTATAAAACGAAAAATAAGGGGATATGGTCCTCTGGATTCCTCTTTGGCGCAGGCCTTTAGAGAAACCCTTCCGCGTTCGAGCATGTTTGAAAAAATGACGCAGTATGCATTCCATCAGACTCCAAATGGATGAAGGAATGCCAAAGACCAAGAAAATTTGGTACTCACTACGCCCTACAAACAGAGTTGTAGAACAAGGGTCGAAAATCAGACAATTTTCTACTGCTTCTGGAGACATTTTTGCAATCCCTTCCTTCACCCCCCCCCCCC